CAGAGGAAAAGGCTGAGTGTAGGTATTAGAGAAACCTTTGCTAACCACCACACTCCCCCCCAGTGCTCCATCCTCCCAAGGAGGTGGAGCTGCAGGTGATTGGCATTGCTTTTATGACAAGTAAATGAACTAACATATGAACTACTATTAATAGGATGCTGTTCCATTTTCCTTCTCAAGACACTTCTGCTTCCAATACAAAAGCTACTTTTTGGGCATTTGTTTGGCTTCTTATGCAATGCTGGGTTACCTCTGGGTAGTCTTAACTTAAACACTTATCTGTGGACAGCAATGTCCATGTGCAGGGGCACGGAAGACTCTGGTCTGTCTTGCCCATTCTGATTAGCTCTTCTCTGCCATTTGATTTAGGGAAATACTCAAGCTGCTGGAAGTTAGTAACCAAGTTAAGCCATCACACAGAGCAGGTTACTGTTCTGTTTTCTAGCTTTATTTATGTTTTTTTTTTTTCCTCTTAGACTATTACTCTGAAAACACTGAGACAGATCCCAAAGATAGTGTGTCACGAGCTGGCAGTTGCCAGCACAGTCCAAGACCCCAGACTTCCAATACCATCATTCCAAAGAGCATCCTCCTCTCCCCAGAGGTCTTTCCTACTCATGCTACTAAGCGCAGATCTCCATACAGATTAATGCTGTGGGAATGTTTGATATTCCAGGTGTAATGCTAAATATTCTCTGGTAACCGTATCACAGAATTATTTAGCTTGGAAAAGATCATCGAGTTCAATCCTTAACCCAGCACTGCCAAGGCCACCATCAGACCATGTCCCTAAGTGCCACATCCACATGGCTTTTACATCCCCCCAGGGATGGGGACTCCACCAGTGCTCTGGGTAGCTGTGCCAGGGCTGGACAACCCTTTCAGGGAAGAAATTCTTCCTAACATCCAACCTGAACTTCTAATGTTACAAGAATAGTCAGCAATAGCACTGCTTTCCACGATGAGATCTCAAAACACCACAGGAAGACATTTTCTTCTCTGCAGCACATAAAAAAACCCACCATTTCACTTCAAAAATTAAAAATAAAAAGCACATTTACACTGAGTTTATTTACTTACTCATTAGTTTGTAAACATTTAGAGCGGCTGAAAACTTGCCTTCACTAGAAATATTCAACAGAAAATTAAGAGAAGGAAGACAAAGAAGGGCAGACGTACTCTTCTGATGAATCATTTGCTTTGGTATTGATTTTCACAAGGTAATTCTCCTTCATGACAGCTTCCCATGCCAGAATTTCATTGTCCTCATTTCTTGAGCCTGATAAAGTGTATTAGAAAAAAAAAAAGATAAATTTGTCTCTCCGATGCTAAGATGCAAAAAGGCTGGGTCAGTGCTTGCACTCAGAGGTTGATGATTCCCTTCTCCACATCCTGAGCACTCACAGCCCCACTTCCCACTTCCCTCTTCCCCTCCTGTTCACTCCTGGCAACCAGAGTTGGCTAAAACCAAAAAATATGGAGTTTAAACAAACAAACAAACAAACAAACCAACCCAACAAAACAAGCAAAACAAAAACAAAACAAAACAAAAAAAACAACAAAAAAAGTAAAAAAAGTAAAAAAAGAGAAAACCACCACACTTACAAGCTCCAAAAGTCTTTCTGGATTTTTTTGGAGTCTTAGTTAACACAGGCACCACTCCTTCAACAGGTATAGGACATTCCAGAAGCTTCCTATGTGGATTTGAGCTTTCCGTTTGTTTCCACACTATCCCAATTGGAATGTTAAGAGTGAAAGATGTTAAGAATCATGACTTTTCATTGAACTTTTCATATTTCAAAAAGATGAAGCACTATCTTCTCTAAAAAGCGTCTCCGGGTTATGCTGTAAATTCAACAGTGACACAGAGCAACCCACTTGGAGGCAGCAAAGCCCTCCAGGATAACACTCCAGCATTTAGTCCTGTTCCATTTGGACAGCACAAGCCACATGGGTTTTAATACAAAAATAAAATTAACTGAGACAAAAGAAGTCCAGAGCTGGAAAATGGCTGAAGTTTCATTTCCTCCAACGTCACCCAGCCCTTAGTTGTTCTCCCAGATACCAACAAGCATTCAAACACCCAAATCCCAACCATTTCCGTAAGAGTTAAGTGGGTAAGGCAGGATTTGGCAGCAGTCTAAACATTAATGTGCTCTCTCCGTGCAGGTCTCAGCTCCTGTCATCAGCAAAATCCCGATGACATTCTGGCTCTAATTAACTCTTCCGTTTGCTTTCAGAACTGCAACATCAACTGTGCATCCTTTGAGCAGAAATATCTGCCATCAAACAACCTCCCCTGCAAGGAAACCACCCAGTGATTTGGGCAGCCAAAATGATTTAGTCAGTGCTAAGGAACTTCATATCCCAAAGCACGCTCTTCCTCCTCAACTAATAACAAATCCAGCCTGCGCTGCAGGGAACAGGCAGGTTGCTGATGGGTGGGAATAAGCCTGTCAATTAATTCGACTTATCCTCTCCCAGCTGCTTCTGAATGGCACTTATGAAGAAAAAAAGAAAACACTCCATTTCTTGGGGGAAAAAGCTTGTTAAAACAATTCCTATTTGTGCCTCTGACAGAGGAAATGAGGGAGAAATAGCTAAAGGACTGACTCGCCACGTTTTTGAGGTCCTTTGCCCATTTGGCCACATCCAGAGGGCCAGGAAACTCTTTATTCTCTTTCTGTCACTCTCTAGCAAACGGAACAAATTAAAGGAAACACAAAACCACAACCCTGCAAAGCTGGAAAGCAGCACAGGCAGCCCTAAACTGATAGGATGAATCTGAAGTCTTCATTGATTTACACAGGAGGCAATTCTACCTCGAAATGGCTTGGACAAGAAAGCACTGGATAACTCTGACTTGAAGATTTGAATCTTTCCCAAGAGATTTTCAGCAACACAGTGGGTTTGCTTATGACAGACAACATGAATGAGCTGCTTCTCCTTTCCAGCACAACCAGCTCCTCCAAGGTCTACAGTGCCACTCTCTACCACCATTAAATATCTTCTTGCTCTCTTGGCTTTTTTACATTGCAGCTGCTCAGAAAGTCTTGTCAGCTTGCAAATCCCACCCATGCCTTCCTGCAAATCGTTTCCATCCATGTCTTCACATCCAAGAAATAAAAAGATTAGAAAAGGGTCTGCTGTTGTGCTTATACTGATCATTGTCCTCACTCAGCTTGTTCACAGGAAAGGAGGAGTCCACAAAGGGAAAGCAATAATCCATAACAGTTTGTCTGCACAAATAACTTTGCAAGAGAGATTTTGCCTGCTGATAGCAATCCTTCAGTCCACACAAAAAAAATCACTGCTCGTGGGACAAAGAGCCACCACAGAACCTTCTTCTGTTCCTATATCAAATAAACAAAAATGGGACTGGCCGGTCATCTGTGGTCTCTTATTATGAGAGCACCTACACTCACTCAGATCCCAAAGGGAAGAAAAGAGTTGTGTTGTATCCTGAGGAGGAATAAACTGCTTGGGATCAAAAAAACCCATAAAATCACACAACCAGTGGCTTACCTCTTCTTCTGGCATGCACCATTTTCCACACCAATTTCAGCGGCACTGATTGTGTCACTGCACATCTACAGAACACACACTTACAGCTCTACCATTAAAATAAGTTCTCAGTAGATTTCACTGCTGAGGGAGAAAAGCCCCATTAACCACATTACATCTCAAGCCTGCTTCCACTGACTAGGTTTGGTTGTTGCTGGTTCTGCCTTCTTTCTCCTCTTTACTCATAAACTGGGCCAGCTTTGCAGCAGACACCAAAGGATTTCCCTCCATCCCGGAACATCACCATAGGAGGCCCTGTTTCAGCTTCTTCTGCTTCTTCCTTCCACTCCAGAAAGGCCTGCGTTTCGAGTTCAGAAGCCCATGCCTCCTGTGTTTTTAAGGTGCCTGCCTGGAGGAGAGGTTGAGCAGCTGCACCCCAAGGCTCCTGTGCCATCGCAGTGTCTAAGGATGGCCCCAGCGCCACTGCCTTGGGACACCTGAGCGTGGAAGGGGAGTCTGCCTTCAGGCACGGCCACGGAAGTCAGTCAGGACGACAGGCTGCCCCTGAAGCTGCCAAGTGTTGCTGTGAGGCTGGGCAGTCAATAGAAAGGCCTCGTGGCCCCTTTTCCTGAAGCCTTTGGCCAAAGCCGGTGCAATTGTGCCCCCAGCATGCCCGCTTTTGGCATGCTGGCCGGTGTGGGTGCCGCAGTCAATTGTGGAAAGAACGACGTGACAAACTCAAGAGGTTCCAGCAGAGCAGTGATTAGCTCAGAGCTATCACAATTTATTGCGGGAGGGGTAGCTCTATTTAAGGGGTAGGTAGGGAAGGTTCTGGAAAACAGGGAGGAGCATGGGACTGACAGGGGTGATAACCAACTGGGGAAGGAAGGAGAGAACATGGGATGAGCAAGGCCCAATGAGGGAAACATCTGCAATGCAGCAAACTTGGACCAATAGGAAAATGGGGATTAAACATGAGGGGAAAAATACAATAAAACTTGAAAAAACCAGAGTACAACCATTTTAACACAGGCACTAACAATATTAAAACTGCCTTCCCGGTCTAACTGTCTTTCTATGTCCAGCATCACAATGTTTCAGTTCCTGGCAGGTGTTCGGCCATCACTGTCTCTCTGAGCGTCTCTTTCAACTGCTCTGGCCATCTTTGAAACTGTTTTTCTTCCTTCCATGTGCCTGCCGCCTGTGGGTGCCTGGCTGAGGAGGCCCAGGTGTTGTGGCTGCTGCTGCTCCTGTGCACAGCCTGCTGCTCTTGTCTGTGGCTTGGGCAGCAGCGACTGCGCGGCCCTGCCCGAGGAGCCCCCCCCAGGCCTTCCCCGTGCTGGCAGCAGCTCTGTGGGCCCAGAGCTCTGGCTCAGCGGGCTCTGGGCCACAGCCCTGTGGGCTGGGCAGCCGTGGGGCCTGGGCTGGCCCACGGTCCTGCCTGTGCCCCTGCCCCTGGCCAGCACCCAAAAAAAGCTCCTGGGCCTCTGTGGATGACAAGATTTGTTTAATATTTCTACACTGGGGTAGAAGGAAGGGCTTGCAGAGAAGAGGCGTCTTCCCCACAGGCTCAGGTGGCCCCAACAGACAGAGCTGCCTGCATCAGCTCTCCACACAGCTACAGCAGCACAGACACACACAGCCCCACACAGAAGGCCGGGTACTCCATGCCCTGCAGAGCTGGTCTTGGAGCTGCTGGAACCTGGGGTAGGGAGCTCTCTGTACAGCTTCAACAAAGGAGATGGTTTCAAGCGCCAGCTTGGAGACAGTGGGGCTGCTGTCATCTGTCGTGGCTTGAAGGGCTGGAACAGAGAGGAACAGAGACAAGGTCAGAGCCCGGATCGGTGGGGACCCGAGGAGCCCCTCCTGCCAGGGCCATCCCACTCAGCTCTTGCTGTTGCCAGGAGGGAGCGAGGCCCAATGGGATCAGCTGGAAGGTGCTGGCCACCAAAACCCCCCCGTGCCTCTGAAATCTCTCTCTGCTCTGACCATGATGCCCCTCGTCCGGGCAGGGAGCAGAGCCCTGCGCAGCCAGGGTAGGATTGCAGCTCCCTGCCCAGGCTCTGTGCTCCCCTCACCAGCCCCCAATGCCCTCACTCACCATCGATGATGAGCTGCAGCTCTTTGTACTGTCCCCTCAGGTACCTCCCGGCGATCCCTGGGAACACAGATCCTGTCAGGGCCCCAGCGGCACAGCTCCCCCCCCCCGGCGGCGCTGCCGGCCCGGCCACACGCCCTCCTGCCCTGGCAGAGCTGAGCCTGGGGCCTTCCCGCCTCGGGACGCCCCAGGGCTGGGCTGGCACAGGGCGGCAGCAGCCACCAGGGCACTCGGGGCTCCCCAGCACATCCCTGGGCCGCATCCTGCTGCCGCTGCAGCAGCCAGGGCTGAGGCCGAACTGCAATGGGGCGGGGAGGGACCTTGTGGCTCACCCATGAACTTGATGGCCGCCTCTCGCAGGGGCTGCTGTGGGCTCCACAGGTACGGCAGGGCCTGGTGCATGTACTTGGCCACTCGGCTCCGGTCCGTTTTCAGCTGGAGAGAGTGGCAGGGCACAGAGGGAAGGGTTGGCACGGGCTCTGCCCCTTGGCCAGGCGCTGCCTGCACCCACCACTGGCCTCCCCTGCCCGCACAGCCCTGAGGCCCGGGCAGTAGCCGCAGGGGCAGGATTTGGAGACAGCAGAGGTCTGGCTGCTCCCTGGCAGCCGCGGGGCTGCCCTGCCCCACAGCCCAGCTGGGCCGGGGCTCCAGCGGCACCCTGGCTCGGGGGTAGAGGAACCTGCAGAGGAGCCTGCACGCCCCAGGCAAGGCAGCAGCATGTGGGGCGCAGGCTGCTGTCCCGCGGGCGGCTGCAGCAGTGGGCAGGGGCACAGTGCCAGCCCCACACTCTGGGCATTGGGGACTGCGGCTTTGGGGTCATCCTTACCAGGCACTCGCCGAAACTCCATGGCTCCTCTGTGTTGACCAGGCGCCCAAGATCCCTCCTCTTCAGGAACCTGGTCACAGCCAACAGTGCTTTCCGGGAGGCCTGCAGAGCAACAGAGACCAGGACATGGCACCGCAGCCCAGGGCACGGGACCCGTGTCCCTGGACCAAGGCCAGGAGGAGGCTGGAGCCCAGAGCCCACGATGTGCCAGGCCAGGAGGCAGCCCAGCCCCCTCCCATGGGACACCAGAGCCCACGAGTCCTCACCTTTTTCACGACAGGGTTCTCATCGTGCCGGTGGAAGTAGAGCGGGAGCAGGCTCAGGCACACGTGTGGCTTCAGGGGTCTCTTTCCCGCTCTCTCTATCAGTTTCATCACACGTGTGAAGATGACCATGGAGCCCTCCCGCACACTGCTGTCGTCCTGGTGGAAAGAAAGAGGAAAAGACCTCAGCATCAGCTTCTCCAGGCCCCAATGGGCACAGACCTGAAAATCCACAGGGCACAAAGTTTCCCAGCAGTACCCAGAGCCCGTGGTGAGGGCACAGAGCCTTACATGGTCAAAGAGTGGCCGGAGCGCCTCAGCCAACTGCAGGCCGGTGGGGGTGGATATTAGGGGGTCTTTGCTGTGGACCCTCTTCTGCAGCTGTGTCCAGACACTGCTCCAGAGCACATTGTCGAGCACAGAGAGGGTCATCCAAACTGTATCTCTGTCCTCATCCCCCAGGAGCTGCACCAGGCTATCCAACAGGCTCCAGATGCTCTTGTCCTGTGAGGAACACAAGGCTGTGCTGTGAAGCCATGAACGGCTGCAGCCCCAACCCTGCTCCGGTGGGACAGCCCCACGTGCTGCCGCGGGGCCCGGAGGCCAAAGGCCTGTCCCGAGGGACTCTGGCAGCTGAACAGGGAGGCAGCAGAGCTGGGAGCAGCTGCCACAGCTCCTGAAGCCCAGCCAAGCCCAAGTGACTGCGTTCCCCAGCCCCAGGATTCCAGCACGGCTTCAGCCAGCTGCCCCTTCTCACCATCACGGGATCCTGGCTGAGTGCTACGAGGACTCTGAGCCCCAGCTGACGCCACTTTTTGTCTGTGCTCCCCAGGTTCCTTGAGAGGATCTCCAGGACTCTGTCACCACATTCTCTGGTGTCCAGGCAGTCCAGGACCTGAAAGGCACGGAGCAGTGATGGGGTGCCCGGCCGGCAGGAGCCCGGACCCGCCCGGGGCTGGGCCCTCCAAGAGGCCAGAGAGGTGGAGGCAGCTCGGTGAGGCAGCGCTCACCATCAGGCTCACCTCCACAAGAAATGCCATGGCAGGGAGGTCCCAGCATGGCTCCTCCCTGCTCAGCAGCTCCAGCAGGTGGAGTGTGATGCGGGAACACAAGGGGCTGGAAACACGGCGCATCTCCCTGCCAGGGGGAAAAAGGCACCACTGACCCTGAGCCCGGTGGGCAAACCTCTCCCAGGACAGACTCACAGGGCCCTGGTCTTTCCCCACCAGCCCAGGAGGGATCGAGGGCACTCTGGGAGGCAGAAAGGACAGGCAGAAAGGACAGGGACAGCAGGGACAAGGGGGTCTCACCTGGCCAGCAGAGCCACTGCGTAGCGGCGGCTGCGAGCATTGAGGAGCCTCGCCCAGCCACGATTGTCTTCCACTGAACACACCACATCCTCACAGTGCAGGCAGCAGAGCAGGGCCTTCATGCTCAGCACTGCAAATCTGTGTGCAGAGCAAAGCCCAGGTCATGCTGGGAGCCCTGAGCCACCCCGAGGGCATGGGAGGGAGGGGAGGACTGGGATGGAGCACCTGTTGGGGTCAGTGGGAAGGTCGTGTTCCTCCCGGCATCCCCTCCAGAAGCTGTCGACCTCCTCGGACATCTGCTCTGTGGTGATGAAAACTTGGAAGAGCAGAGCCACGAGGAGATGGGGGGAATACTCCATCAATGGCCCTGGGCACTGAGGCTCCTGGACAATCGTCCACAGTGCCAGAGTTGCCTGCAAAAGACAAACCACCCGGACACAGCGCTCAGTGCCAAGACATCCATGTGGCAGGGCCCGAGCGTGGCAGGGCTCCCCCTGCCAGGGTAGACTCGAGGGGAGCGCCCAGCCTGGTGCCCCTGAACCTGCTGCTAGCCCACATTTCCAGCCCAGTGCCTGCACGGAGATGGGCAGGGAGACGCCGTGCTGGGGGAGGATGGAGAGCTGCCAGAGAGGCAACCTGGGGGCAAGCAAAGGTTCCAGAAACTCACAGCCAGGGCAAAGACATCTGTGTTGTCCCCATCGGAGGTGCGGGTGCTGTGCCATGGCCAGTCCTCCATCACAGAGAGCAGCATTGGCAGCACCTTCTCCAGGGTCGTTCCCGACGAGGCGATGGTCCTCCACATGACTGCAGCAGCTCTGTGGAGTCAGAGCTCTGTGTGAGAGGGCTCTCGAGCACAGCGCCCTGACCTGGGCAGCTGCAGGGGCCGGGGGACAGAGCCACAGTGCTTTCAGGGGCAGGGGGGTGATGGGCTCTAAAGGCTGGTGAGCCCTCAAGGCAGGTGGGGCCCGTACCTGTCACATGAGGGGGCACAGCGCAGGAGGCTGATGGCGACATCCGCGGGGTGTGCCTGGGTCAGTGCTAGAAGGGTGTTATCCAGCACGTGCCCAGCAGACACATTGGAGCTCAGCCACCAGTGGATGGACCTCACCACAGCTGGCACCTGGAGGGGACACAGGGGAGATTAGGAGAGCTGCCAGAGGGAGCAATTCCCCACCTTCCCCCAAAAAGTGCTTCTCTTCTCACCACACTGTGCCGGCCTCAAAAGCTGAGGGGGCCCAGCAGACCCAGATTGAGGGGCCACACAGGCCCTGCCCACAGGCTGCTTACTTGAGCAGAAACAACTCCCTCATCAAGAAAGGTCAAACTGGGAACATCAGGCAGGCTCTGAATGGGTGTCCTGTCAGTGTCTGCAACGCCCTCAGTCGTTGGACTGCCAGCCTTGGCCTTGAGCTCGGTTGGGATGGGCTCAGGCTGTGCCATGGCCTTGGATGGTGAGGTCCTGGCCTTTCTATGCCGAATGGGCTTGGATTTCTGCTCTCTCTGCAGGAGAACGAAGGGCAGGGAAGAGAGGGATGTGCCATGGAGAGCTCCGACAGCGGTGCCAGGCTGAGTAGGAACAGCAGGCCCAGCCCAGGAGGTAATGGCTGCAGGTACCTGTGCTGCCCTGTGGAAGCAGCCACGGGCGCGGTCCTCCTCTCGTGTCTGGTCTCGTCCTGGATGTGGCAAAGAGCGAGCGCGGTCAGAGCTGAGGGGCTATGGGACAGGCCAGAGAACACGGCCCAGCCCTGCGCTCCACAGGAAGGGCCAGCCCAAGCATGCCCAGTGCATGGAGCTGCCAGGGATCAGCTTCAGGTCCTCCTCCCTTTCCCTGGCCATGTCCACAGGAAATGGGATGGGAAGAGACCCATCTGGCTACAGCCAACAGCCCTGTGGTCCAGCTCTGCCACTCACCCTCCTGCAGGGGCTGGAACTGCTCCACCTCCTCAGGGTGCTGTGCCAGGGGTACTCCAGGGCTCTCCGCCTCCTTCTTCACCCACGTCAGCTTGGGCACCCTCTGGGGTCTCCGCTCCATGCCTCTGAGTGGCTTTATGGCGACCTGCAGGAGATGTGGCACAGAAAAGCTCTGGGTCACCTAAAAAGTACCTTGAAGGTACCTGCAACAGAGGAAACTTGGGAATGCTCTGGGTCATCAAGTCCCACAGTCTGGCCTGCAGGGGACATGACGCAGTTCAAGAACTGTCAGAGGGAGCAACTCGCCCACTTTCCCCAGGAATTGCTTCCCTTCCCACCACACTGTGCTGGCCTCAAAGGCTGAAGGGGACCAGCAAGCCCAGTTTGAGGGCCACAAAATCCCTTCCAGAAGGCTGCTTACTTGACTAAAGACAGCTCCTTCATCAAGAAAGGCCGGACTGGGAGCATCGGGCAGACACTGAATGGGTGTA